TGATTCCTTACAACACTAGACTGTGTTGGAAGGACCCATATGCATAGTGTTGAAATGGGCCCTAGACTTATTCTCAGGGCGAGAACTGTAATATATGGATTAGGATCATGTCTCCTTCATTTGTTTACTAACTTTGATTGTCCAATCATGAACCCCTGCGAAATGTTGTGGGTCAAAAGAACTATTAGGTCATTTTGAGAAGGTGTAGTGAGATACGGTTTCTTGAAAGGATAGAGTTTTCAATATATTTATTATATTGTTAACTCTTTGGATCTAATTCCTATTAAATCTTTTAAAATATATATTTAATTATATTTTACTTATATTTTAAATAATTAAAATAAATTTTTAGACCTCTTTGGATATTTTATTGTATTGAAAAGAGTTTTTTAAATAGAGAAAAATCAATTATCTGGATTTATTTTAATCAGAGAGGAAAACAAAATATTTAAAAGCTTTATAAAAATCATTTTAAAATTTGAAACTTTATTTATAGTGTGAGGCCCATTGGGACTTTGGGCCCACCACATGCAAGCCCATTTTGTGGGGACATGGGGCCCTCATGGCTCTCCATGTGTGGGGCACCCCACTCCCTTCTTCTTTCCTTTTTGTGTAGTTTGTGTGCTAAGCCACTTCTTGATTGAAACAATAAAGGAAAGTGTTATATAGATAATTTGATTGATTTCAAATAAGAAAGAGTAGAGATCAATTAAATTTAATTTACGCTATAGAATATTTGATGGGAATAGAGTTATAGAAAAAGATGGATAGTAGTTCCACTTCATTCATTTCAATCATAATGACTGATCTAAAGAATGAATGGTTGAGATCTCTTCACCCTACAGGTCTTCGTGATCGAAGATCAAAGTTTAGTCTCATAATCATGACAAAACCCTAGACCCCAAATCCTTAGCCTTTATTTCTTTATTCTATATATACTCTCTATGAGGCCTATTCTCTACACACCTTGAACTCTCTCTCTCTCTCTCTCTCTCTCTCTCTCTCTCTCTCTCTCTCTCTCTCTCTCACACACACACACACACACACAAAGGCAACCACACCCTGCTTTCTCTCGCTCTCTATTTCTCTCTCATTAGTTAATGTCCCGACTAATAGAACCTAGAACCCCTAAGATAGGGCACACCCAAGCCACAAGGGTGGCACGCTCCTAGCCTGTGTGCATTGAAATTTCATTATGTGTTGGCCCTTGATCAAAGCTTATCTCATGTCATGCTCTCAAGAGGTTTTGCCTAGGCTTCTCGCGTGATGAGACGATGCTAGATTGAGATTTTGTACGCTATTGGTGGAAGAGACCTGATGTGGGGTGCATGATGTCCTTAGAGGTAACATGAGACAAGTTATTTGGTAATTTTAATTGCCCCATGTTTCTTGATTCTTCATGCATTGCATTTTAATATTATTTAAAAGAAGTCTTATGGCATGCAAGAGAAGATCATAGGTTGTCTTAAGGTATATTTTATGAATAAAGTTGTATTTTCAAATACCTGTAAGTGTTTTAGTCAGTATTATTAAAAGAAAGAAAAGAAAATTTTTAACCATATATATGTGGCAAGATCACATATTCCTTCTTGTATTCATCAGTTTCAACTTCCTAATGCCCAAACCTCCCTCCTTTATAGGAACACAAAATTTATCCTCTTTAAGAAGCTTAAGTTTCATAGTCTCACCATAACTAAGCCATAGGAATGCCCTCGTAATATCTTCTAACCGCTTCATGACCTGCTTAGACATACAAAACAATGATATGCAATACACTTGTGAATTAGATAAAAGTAGATTCGATCAAGGTAACTCTTCCACCCAAAGATAGAAACTTTGATTTCCAAATATCCAATTTTCTATTAAATCTCTCAATGATGAGTCTCGGATCTAGGAGGATGTACCGCTACCAATGATCTTTTCAAATATTTACGAGGCAACTTGTCCATGCCACAACCCAATATCCTGGCCAATTCAGCCAATCTTTCTTTTGGATAGCCAATACCATTAAGATTTGCTTTCCCTGGATTACCTTAAGACCAATAACCGTGTTCATACACAAGAAAAATTCGTACGTTTTTTACTTCATCCTCCACTGAATTACAAAAAATTAATGATATCACTGCACATTGGAGGTGAGATATCATTAGTCCATTATTCCCAAATGCTAACTAAAAACATCAAGCCTTTGTTGACCACCAAGTTGAGAGAGAGAGGCGTGGAAGCTGATGATGTGACCGAGGAGGGATTCTTAAAGACAATCTCACCAAGAGTGTCACACAGAGAGAGAAAAAGCGCAACATGGAAGCTGATGATGTGACTAAGGAGGGATTCTTAATCTCACCGAAACTTGCCTATTTTTTGTAGTAGTCATAACATGACATTATTTTACTTGAGAAGTGTATAGCATTCAACTTTCAGTCAGATAAAATATACCGTCAAAAGGCTCAAAATAAAAAATATGAGAAAGAAATTGAGAAATAAAAGGAAATATAAAGGCACAAGCAAGCTTTGATTGAGAACCAAAAGTTCACTAGAGCGGAGCTACGGAATGTCAGATCCTAATAAAAACCCTTTTTTCAATTTATCTATTAGAATAAATTCAAAACGTGTCTTGGGGATCAAATTTGTCATCTAACCCGCATGGTAACAATGTAGTACATGATAAACATGTCTCCATAGCTAACATCCATTTTCCAGGCAAATGCTAGAGACTTGGTCGAGTGTTCTCAAACTCAGCCGAATTACTCAAACGCGTCTGAGTTACTCAGACTCGGGCCCGAGCCGAGGTATCATATAAGAAAAATAGATAGAACTTCTAAAAGTATCTAAAAAATTGGTATTGATGTGTAGAATTTTTTTTTTATGTGATTTGGATTTTCGGCAAAAATTGAGTTTTTTTGCCCATATACCTTATAAATCAATTTTTTTACACCCCACTACAAATCAATTTTTTAATATTTTTTAAAACTTGGACTTTTAGATTGTTTTTTGTTTTGTTTAATCTTTACTACTTCTTATTCTATTTTAAAATTTTTATTTTTCTTAATCTTCCAGGGAAATTCACTTAGACCCGACCCACCTGATAAGCTTGCCTCGAGCCAAAGCTTAGTACCTAGCCCCAGGTGCGTCTAAAAATGCAAGTGGGATATCCGCATATGCTGACTTTGCATGCCATGGACTGCAACTTTAACTTTTGAAACCCAACTTACTGGCAAAATCCAGCAGAAAAGCCTTCTATAAAACAGAAACCCCGGTTTTCCACTCTCCTCTTCCACAGCTTCCCCTACAACATAAAATTTATATATTTTCCCTTATCCAACCGTCCATTCTAAATGGAGAGCTAAGATAACCCCATATATTTATATAAACATTTCATATTAACCCTCCATTCGCTAGTACACTATTTTATTTTATTTTATTTTTTCTATAAACTATTATAACACCAAATTTTCTACATCCAATCCTCTACTAAACTCACACTAACGAAAATATAACAAAAAAAATTTCCAATAATATAAAATGACCAAAATACCACTTAAGGTTTCAAGAGGTATTTTGGTGACTATTTTATCCAAAAATTATTTTTAATATTTTTTATAGGTGCACCTCAATGAGAAGATGACACCTACCAAATTTCATATTCATACAATTTGTATAAAAAAACTAAAAATAATAAAATTTTAAACGTCGCATCTAAAATCAATCGGTGAGTGTCTCTTGATCAAAATTGAACGGTTGGATAGTAGGGAAAACATAGATCTTCTATTTTGTAGGGGAAGATCAAATTACGACGCATCTTAAACAATCAAATTACGACGCACCTTTGAATTTTATTATATATGTAATTTTGGTGTCAAAAAAATCTTAGGATAGTTCGATAATCAATTTTCATCTTTAATTATAAAATTTTAATCTCCAAAGAAGGTTCATATCAAGTAAATCTATAAACACATGAAAATCTTGAAAATGAACGGTTCAGATAATGTGTTGCAAGATACATTATTTTGAGACTCAAAATTTATTTTTCTTTTCATATTCATACATCTCAACATCAAATAACCATTTATGTTGGATTTTTAAGATGTACCTTAATTCTACATTTTAACGTTCCAACCTTACATAAACTTTTTCCTAGGATTGTCCATAAAAACAACTAAAGTTGGGCCATAGAGATGACTATCGAGACATCCAAAAAGGCCAATGGAGTCCATAAGAGGTTTCAAGAAACCGTTTTTAAGTACAGAAAAAGTTTTAGTTTGTCAATATTCATGTGCAACCTTTCCCAAAAATGAATATTAGAAATAGATTCTGGAACTAAAATTTCACATGGCAAAAATATCATCCAACAACATTATGAATTAAAAAGATTGAATTTTAAACATTAAAAGGCATTATTTCAAACGAATTAGGACAAGCAGTTAAAAAAAAGTCCGACATATCTTTTAAAAATTTCTTTCTTGTTTTTGGTAAGATCATTATACACACAAAATAGATCTTGGAAGGAGATTATACTTGATCAGGTCGTGTGGATAGATGCACCAAAATCCATCCTTCCTTCAAGCACAGGCCACTGCACGTGCATTCCATACTAGCTAGCCATTGCACGAGCATTCCATACTAGCCAGCCATTGCACGAGCATTCCATACTAGCCAGCCACTACACGAGCATTTGCACGTGGAGTCACGCATAAATATGCATGGGATGCTTTATGTGCATGTGGCATCATGCATCATTTCAAGGTTGCAAGAATCCACTGATGTGTAAGTGCATACACGACCAGGCATATGGGGTCATGCATAAATGCAGGGGTTTAAGCATGCCACAAAAATGGGGGGATTGAAATGGGTGTGTACTTCCAAAATACAAATCGCAACTCCTTTAAAATACAGATACATAGCGAGGGCCTGAAAGATGACCATAATAAAATGGGGCAACCAGCAGAACCAAGATATTTCAGCCAAAGATATCTCTCAATCATCAAATTATAAAAAAAGAAAGAAGGAAAAACAAGAGCGTGCATGTATATATACTAATTTGTTCCACTCTTCACGGAACAATTATTCAAAGCATGTTTTTGTGGCATACCTTTTGGATCTCTTACAAGAACCCCTGGTCCCAAAATAATTATGTAGCCTTCCTTATATACATGAGAATCGGTTGACACAAAGCAGATTTCCTAGGTATTTCATGAGCCTGTGATATGCATATCATTTATGGTTAAACAGGTTAAGAATATACAAGATACTCCCTAAGATTTTTGAAAACGTGGGATACACCCAATTCTCACATTTGTAGAAGATTATTCACAGTGACGGCAACAGAGTTGGTTCTCTGTAAATCCTGAACAATTAAAAAAAAAAAACTGTTAGGCCACAATTCCATGGACTGCATATTCCAACAAGGATACTGCTGGCAAGGATTCTAATAACAATGTCATCAGGAAAGAAGAAATACGGAAGAACAGACTGGTTTTGTTCACATGAAAATGTTACGCAGATAGGGCCTTATACCATAGATCCTTGGCACCAAAGAATAAAGCTGTTAAAGTTCTTCAAATACATGCTTATTACAAACAACATAAATGCATGCATGGATCCTAATAACAGAAATGCCATCTCTTGCATTAAATTTACCATATTTTGATTGCATGGGAAAGCTCAGTTTAGGGTGATACTAATGCTACTGTAAACTGGTCTTACCTATGATGTCAATCATGCCATGAAACTGTAAAAAGAAAAGCAAAAACTTACTAGGAAAGAGACAAGTCGACTAGGAAATAGACAACTAAATAGCACAATATCAAAGCAAGCTCGAGAAGAGACCTCAAAAATTATGTCGCTAGGAATGTTGGGCAACACTTCTCTCACTCGCTCTGCCATAGCAAAGATATCATTACCACCTGTGCTTGAACTAGAAGTGGAAACACTCCTGAAGTGTATACCACCACTATTGTTTGTTTGGTATCGAAGTGAAGATGAGGCAGGTGAAGGGGACCCACCACCCTGATTGGTGGCAGGCATGGGTGGCCAAAGACTCCAAGCTGCATCTTCAAGAGCAGTATGGGCATAAGTTCCACTCACTGCTGCAAGGTGTCTCATCATCATCTGGACCTTCCCGATCCCAACTGGTCTCATGTTGCTTGATGAGGGCCCTGCACCATCCAGTCCAGACCTTGGCCAGGTATGCACCCAACCACCATCCAGCCCCACTCCTCTGAAGAAAAATCAAACAGAAGCACACAAATTTAACCATTTTAGTGACAGAATAGTGAAAAAAGTTGTTTCATCAATTGAAACAATCATCATCATCATTTATCCTTGAGGATCCATTGTTCATAATTGGAACTAGCTGCACTTAATTTTGTATCTACATCAATGAAAACACCATAGTGAGCGATAATAAGTGGTGTAGGAAGATCAGCATTGAAAAATCTAAAAGTGTTACGAAATTGAGATAATGAATCTAATTATCCCCATTGGAAAACTTGTGCCATTGGACACATACAGCAACAGGGTAAGAGGGAAACTAAACAGAAACAACACAGTAAAATGACACTCGTGCATGTTCTTATGAGCAAAAGTTTGAAAGGCATGGCTATGTAGAATTCCAAATTATATCATTTCTTGTCTTGCCACTCATCCATCTCAATATCCACATCTCAGCTGCACTCATCCTATAAATACGTTGTCTCATGACCGTCCAACATTCCTCCCATAAACTATGCCTGGTCTTGCAGTTGTCTTACAAAATTTCCCCTCCAGTTTCATTGGTATGAGGCAATCACATAAAACTCTGCATTCACATCTCCACTTCGCCCACCCAACTTTAATTCTATGTGTGACATCTTCCTCAATATCTCCATTCTCCGATTATCAATCCAAGATATCAGAAATAATCTCTTTTACGTATTTATTGACCATCAATCTTAACTACTTCATCATTTCTACTCCTATTATTATTAAATTGCATTCCATGAATTCTGCCTTAGTCGGGCTAATTTTAAAACCTTTAGATTCTAAAGTATCTCTCAAAATTTCTAATTTCTCTCTTATTTTCTTCTCCCTTTCACCTTCTCTCATCTCACTCTCTTTATCTCCTCTACCTTCTCTCTAATCGCTCATCGCTGGGACTCTTCAGAAGTGAGGCCTTTTGACAGGATATGACATAGTCTAACTCGCACTCTCATTCTCTTGATTCCTCGGGTGTCGAGGCCCCTCCAGGCTAGGACCTATCGGGTAGGCCCGAAGATGTCCTACAGGAAATCAATCATAGTGGCTGTCCGATTGGTTGTTGATCCCTCTTGCTCATCTTCTCCCTCTTTGCACTTTTCTCTCACTTCTTTCAGTCCACACTCCTTTATCACCACTCACTAGGGGCTAAACCTCTTCTAAACCATTCCCCCTTTCTAACCCATAATCTAAACTACCCCGGGACGACTTGAAGGACATTCAACTCTAGGCTTCATAAAGAGTGCGAAACATCCACGACCAGCAGTGAATCGAAAATGGAGCAATTTCCAAACCGGGCCGAGAAAGTCGGGCGGCTTTTGTGCGACTGATCTAAGAGGGCTCACAAGGGCCCGGGCGTGTCCCTGAACCCAATCCACCATGAGGTAGGCCTCAAAACCTCTCCCGCTGTGTAAAATCGCTCTCGTTAGTACACCGAGAGAGAAGAAAAGGGAGCGGCCCAGCTGCCCCCTTTGAGGTGTGAACAGAGAAAGAGAGAGAGAGAGAAAGAGGAAGAAGAAGAGAGAAAGGGAAGAGAGAGACAAAGAAGATGGAGGAAAGAGATAGACTGAGTACTAGGTGGGTGCGATGAGGGCTAGAACCCGCTGGCTATGTGTACTCCTTTGGTGCTTTGAGTGCTTTTGAGAGGGGTTAGTTTTATGACTTATGGCTAAGGTGGGGGCTAGCTCAGGTGGGCTAGGGTGAGGGTTAGCTTAGGTGGGCTAGGGTGAGGGTTAGCTTAGGTGGGGTAGGGAGTATAGTTGATGGGTTAAGTATGGGTAGGCTAAGGTGTAGGGTATGGGGTAGTGGGTATGGTGTGGTGTAGGGTAGGGAGTATGGTATAGTAGGGTGTAGGGAGCATGGGAGTAGAGTATGGTGTGGTGTAGGGTTGAGTGGGTTAGGATGGGTAGGCTAGGTTGTATGGTGTGAGATAGGGTAGGGAGTATGGGAGTAGGGATCCAAGGGGTATTGCACTCCATGCTAAAATATTCCCTCTCCTCTCTCTTGAAGTGAAGAATGAAACCTCAACACAAGAAAATTCAAGCTATTACACCTTAGCTTTCAAATTATCTCCAACTTAGGTTACAAATACTAAAAAGAACTTACTTATATAAGATCTCCCCAAAATATGGGTGGATGATCAAAACAATCCCAAATTGATAAAAAAAATACATTTCTTCTAATTTAAAAGTGAATTTCACTTATGGAGTGAAATGACCATTTTGCCCCTCCCAACTTTCATGGAAATGACAAAACCATCCCTCAAAAGAGGCCTCTTGCCTCCCTTATGGTTTGGGGCACTTTTGGGCACCTTTTGGCGACCTTTCGGACGATCCAATAGCGTAAAAATGATGGCTGCGTCTTGATGATCGTTTCATATCCATTAGTGAGGTTGAATGGAACTTTTGAGGTTGATCCCAAAATCCGGTCAAACCCATGTTCTTGAATTTTTCTTCTTTCGATCTTAGCTTGTTTTGCCTTGTTTTTTGTCATTTTCTTCCTCACAAATGAAGGGGAGGTCATTGTGATCGTTTTGCAACTAAACCCCTTTATTTGGTGCTCATTTGATCACTTCTGTAATTTTTGAGGTCACCAAAAAATGGGATTCCGGAGACTGGAAAATGTACCTTCTTGCAAGCTCGAATCAGGTGTCTTCCCGGCCTTCATCTCATGCAAATCTTACCTCAAATCGAAGCCCGTCGTGTCACGGTTGCATTGGACCCATATTTGAGGCTATCCGATGTCGGGGCTTTGAGATATAACCATTCGAATGGATTGATGTTCTTCTTTAAAAATTCTATAACACATGAGTTTTCGGGTCCTACTTCTCTCTAAGATTTCTCTCATTCCGGGTATCGTCTCGGGTTGTACCTTATATCAAAATGTGCGGCTTGATGAGATCTACCACATACTGAAATTTGGGCTTGATTGGCCTAAAGATGAGAGAGGCAATCCTAAAATCAAATAACAGTTTTCAAAAATGGAAACTGGTCCATTGTAACAGTATAGGAATGGTGTGAAACCCACCCATTTTGGGTAAGCTGGCCCTAAAACAGTCCAGAAGTGTCCAAATGAGCTGAAATTTGATATTCGAGGGTTTTTGGGCCTTTCGAATCCAATGGCGATGGTTTGATGCTCGTCTGAGACCTTGGGGATATAGCTCTAGTTATGAGGTAGCTTTCGGCATGATCGAGTGGTGCTGTGAAATATAAATTTCATCATGATTTGCTTTATCTTGATCGGATTGGGACGAAACTTGGCGGGCACTCTTAAAACACCAAATGAAACTCTTTGGGGCCAAGGGGACATCTTTTGAAAATTACTCAACAGTCAAGCTTATTGGAGCGGGCTGCTGTAGTCCAAAGGTGTGACTAGTACCCATGGGCCTAGGTCGTAACCGCCTCCTCTGTTATTCGATCCAGGGTGTTAGTGCATCAAAAATACGTTCAAACACAGTGAGAAGCGGTCTTTAAAAAGGATAGTGTCCTTACTATTTTTGTAATTATCCTAACTCTATAGATCCAATTCACATCATATCTTTTTTAATATGTTTAAATAAGTCTTAATTATTTTATAGATAATTAAAATTAATTTTTAGACCTCTCTGGGTATTTTATTCGAAAAATCATTTTATGTAAGGAAAAATCAACTTTCTGGTTTTATTTTAATCAAAGAGAAAAATAAAATATTTGGAGGTTTTATAAATTTTATTTTAATATCTTAAAATTAATACTAATATATTGGAGACCCAATGGGATTCAATGGGCCCACAAATGTGTGGGGCATAGGGCCCACATGGACACCACATGGGTGGTGCGCCCCACCCCATGCAAACTTTCCTTATTGTTTCATGTGTCTTCTAAGGCATGTGTTGATTTGAAATTTTGAAAACTTAAAATGTAGAGATTTGAATTGGAACTAGATAAGAAGTACAAGATATCAAATAGTATGTATTAAATACTCTCTACACAAAATATTTGATGGGAATGGAGTTATGGAAACTGAGGGATAAGGTTCCACATCATTTTTTTAATCATGATGGCTGATTTAAAGAATGAATAGTTGAAATCTCTTTACCCCATAGGTCTTTAAGATCAAAAGTCAAGATTAAACCTCATGATGATGGCAAAACCCTAACCCTAGAAACCCTAACCTCTTGTCTATATATACTAGCTATGGGGTTCTATTTTTGATCACTCGATCTCTCTCTCTCTAAGCAACCGCCCCACTCTAGCCTTCTCGCTCTTCTTTCTGTCATCAAAAAATTAGGGTTTAGAAAAAGTTAACCCTAAGGGGAGGCACGCCCAAGCCACACAAGCCCTAGCCCTAGGTCCTTGCCTCGTGCTCATGTGTTGAGCCTTGGTTAAGGAAATCCCATGTGATGCTCTCTAAGAGATTTGGCTAGGCTTCCCTAATTGTGAGGTGTGTTCTTGAACCAAGATCACGTGCGCCATCGGTGGAGCAGACCCAGTTTGGGGTGTACGAAGTCCTTGGGGGTAGCCTAAAGCAAGGTACGCGTTGCTTCTATTGCTTTTCCTATGTAATTTTCAGTTCTACATGATGGATGTAATTTTCTCTTAAATGGCATGCAAATAAGGGGTCTTCCTTATTTCATTGAGAAAATTCCTTTTTAGACACTTGTAAGTGATTCGGGCGGTAATACATATAAAAGGAGTAGAAAAATTTTAATTGATATTGACTTGCCCGGTCACATAGTCCACCTTTCATATATATGTCTCCTTTGTTCTTGTAGACAAGTACCACAATATATTTTCCCCATTCGTCTAGTATTTTCTTTGTTCTTAACATCTTATTGAACAACTTGGTTAGCTAGAATATACCAATCTTTACTATACACTTTCAAACCTCTATTGAGACACCATTTGATTCTAAAGCCTTTCTTATCTTCATCTTTTCGCTTCATTTATCCTCATCTTGTGAATGTATCTATGACCTTTGACCCCATTTGTGTCAAAGGTTCCTCCT